TTTTTTTTTTTCCCTTTTGCTCCACACACAGATTTCTGTTAAAACATTTGGACCATTTCTCGATTTATGCGTGTCATCCTTGAATGCGCAGGGGTCATGCTAATCTTCATTCTCTGTATCATTCCAATTTTAACGGGTGTCCCGAAGGACTCTTTTTCTTTTTCATTACCCTTTTAGGCCTTGACTGCTCTGAACTGAGGGCATACTCGCACTATAATTTTTTCCACTAACCTGGACGTGAGTCCAGTCAAGTTCATCCAGGTATGGCCGTAATTGCAGTTATATACATTTAGGAAAGTGCTAATGCGAGTAGGCCCTGCTACTCAATGGGAATTCTGGGCTTGTAAGAAAAATATCAACCTCCTTTCCTGGAACACAACCCACCCTCGCCAGGACCGTAGGGCGCCCCAATAATAGCTTGTATACACACGACCGGATGGCACCGCAATAATAGCTTGTATACAATCACGCTCAAGGTGCGTCGTGTTCAGGCGGTTTTTTTTTTTTTTYTCAAGTCCATGGTGTTGTAGAGGCCAATCACTGAGTACACAGTGATCACCTGGAGCAGTAGGTCGTAGGTGTCCTGGACTACCAGACCACCTCCCATCCCATCCTCACGTCAATACTCCTAGCGCACCCCCTATCCCACTATCCTACCTCAGTGTGACCAGCACTCAGGAGTCAGGACCATTACCCTACCAATGGGCAGGTACCTTGGACTGAACAGCAGTCATAGGCACCAGGGCTGATAGGTTGCCCTGCCGTGGCTGGTGGAAGCGGAAGCGGACGAGCCTTGTCGAACGGGAACTTCAGACGCCAGGCCCAGACACCAGACAATCTACTACAGGCCCCAAGAGACTCTGGGCCCTAGGTTTCAGACAGGGTAGCACCCATTGAAGCAGTCTTACGACTGCCCTTCCCCAAGCTTATCCAAGGACAGGCGGAACTCGGACTGGCCTGAGGGACTTATACCCCTACCCTTACCCCGGTCTAAGCCTTATATATACCCACTAGACAGTTCTATCCAAATATCAGTAGGAACTCCGGTGGCCCATACCTGTCCCTCACTAGAGGGACTCGAGGGAAGACAAGATGAGACAGGGCGGGGAAATGATGTCCTAATCAAAGACAGGAGACATGGCGGGGGAACAATGTCCTAATCAAAGACAAGATGAATGAACCTTTTCAGCTCCCCACCAATAGATGGAGCCTCCTCAAAAGCCATTGTGGTGTCTGCTTCTATCAGCACCCCTAGGGCCCTAGCACCGATTTGGGCTGTTCTTTACAAAAAAAAAAAAAAAAAAAGATCATACCATGATACTTCCATTAAAAAAAAGAAAGAAAGAAAGATACATGCATTTCCTGCTCCACTTGTATACATTCATGCTCCTATCAGCAGCCCTAGGGCCCTACAGTCTTCCCCCGAATACAACGCACGGTCATTATAGCCGTATTTGAGGCATCTTTCAGTCTAGATACAGCGATAATGACCATACGTTGTATTTGGGGGAAGACTGTAGCACCGATTTGGAAAGCAGTGGTCTTTTAACTCAAGACAAGACACTCACGGCAAGACGAGAAGATACAGGGCCGGGGGAACAGCGTCCTAATCAAAGATGGAACGGACGTCCTTTTTTTAAGTTTTTTCTCCCAAATGAATGGCCTCAAGTGTTCTGACATGATCAGAATACTCAATACAACATATGATGATACCTGCATTTCCAAAAAAAAAATTAAAAAAAAATGCATTTCCTGCCACCCCACACTTGTCACTGATTATTTGGAAGCACTCGAGGCAAGACGACACCCTCAGGAAAAAAAGAAAAAAGAAGACACCCTCAGGAAAGAAAATTGTGTCAAAGAAAAATGGTGTCAAATCCCAAAAAAATAAATAAAAAAATATGGTGTCAACTGCAGGCACCAAGTGCACGAAGTAGCATATTATAGGATAGTATCATCATCAAAGCGGTTCAACAAAGAACTGTGTGTGTGTGTGTGGGGGGGGGGGGGGGGGGGGG